ACCAGGTTTCGCGGTAGAAGAAAGGGTTCCTGGGCAGATCTCACGTATGTGGTGTCTCCGTCCTCACTGAGTATTATCTCCTCTCTACAACTGGCTGTATACAGGGCCACTTGTACGTCTCTCTCTATATGTCATGTCAGTGTAAGTCTCTCTATCTACGTGTTCATGTTTATCACTCCCTGGGTCACGGGGTGTGGAGATCACCATTAGGTTTAGTGACGCCGGGCTGAGTTACAGTAGACCACGTCAGTTTTGGTCAGAACATTATAATCCAATCGGTGTTCCAGTTGTCGGAATACTAAAGACCGAAAATCAATTATCGAATGCAGTAATTCTTTCCAGCTGTAAATATAGTTATAAGCGGATAAATCAGACTCCCCCATAAATACTGAGTACAGAGCTGACATCGACCAGGGATAAATAAATTATCTTAATAATATCACCGACCGATAGCGGGTTTTTATGGAGTCGGTTGTAGTGTTCGTGGTGTAGCCTTGATGTGACCGTGACAAGAGTTTGATAAAGAGAGGATCAGAATATTTTAACTAAGGGATTCAGGGCGTTCAAGGACAGACATGGTTACTTGTGTGATTATAGGCGAGAGCCCATACAGGGGTCTAGTTTTTATATGGTACATTCTTAGTATTTCTTTGCTAACAAATATTGACTTTCTCACTTCCGTTATCTGGACTTGTTCCAGAACACAGGGTACACGCTTGTATACTGCATGAAACGGAGAACAATGATGGAACAAGAGAGAGAAAAACAGCAACTGTTTCCTCCTTCTTACCTTCAATAGACACGACCCCGTTCAAGCTCTTTGCTGTGGCAGGTGAACACAACCTGAAGGAGGAGTCCGGAATGGAGCAGGTCAGAGGATTAGGGGCGATCATCACCCACGAGAACTTCGACCTGAACACCTATATCAACGATATCGCCCTCGTCAAATTGGCATCACCCCTGGAGATGCATGCTCTGGTGCAGTCCGTGGAACTGCTGGGGCCGATGGAACTGGTGGCTGAGGGTACCAGGTGGTGTTTAGTGGCACAAAGATCTTAGTTCATCTCAGGGCCTTCCATAATAGGGATTTTTTTCTCATATAGTCGGTCATTTAAGACTCGAAAGGCGTTCATAGGGCTGCTAACGCAACTACGACAGGAGGGTGATGGTCAAGGGAGGGATTTTAGGGGGGGGGAGGTTAAGTAGGTTACGGCGAGGAGTTACAGGATATTACAGTCTCAGGTGAAGAGAGCGTTGATAATGGTGTTGATATTGACATTTATACTGATACTGCTGTTAATACTCATGTTAATATTGGTGTTGGAATTTATATAATGTCGATGTTTACATTAACATTGATATTAATATTGATAATGATAATATTTATGTTTATATTGATAGTGGTGCACTTAACGACACAAATATTGAGGTTGGTGCTGATAATGACTTTGGATTAATGAAACTGTTACTAGCACTGTTGGTAATGAAAACAAGTAATAGAACATCGTTGCGCTATTGTTTACGTCTTGTGATGTCAGTAATGATGTTAATACTGATAACTACACTACAAAAGAGATTACACACGTCACCTGAGTACCAGACACAAGTACCAGAGACCTTGACTATATACCTACTCACACACTCAGTACCGGTCCTTGCTAACCACTCTTCCTCTTCCTACGTCAGATACTTTCCTTCAGCTGAGGGAGAAATACAAATGTACCTTAGTCGTGGTAGAAACTTGCCTGAAATGTGTTTTTTTTTTTTAGTTACAGGAAATAAAATCAAACTCCATATTTGTAAAGAGAATTCGTCTTTCAGATAATATAGGTGGTAGCGCCTCCCTCCTCCCATTGGTTATTCGCTGCTGGTCGATTTACGTAGCGTCTTTATTCTGTCATTATAGCAGGACGGCAGGTCGGAGTATGGCTCACTGTCATGCTATATTGTAGTTTAGTCTTCTGTGATGTCGTCCGCTAGGTTAGGTTAGGTTAGGTATATCTGTATGTTAGTTGCCAGGATTTTGATGAAGACTCCGCTTTACATGGGACGATATTCTCTCAACTTTTAACTGTTTATGTAGATTTATTCCTCCTGTGTTGTGACCAATGTGTATGTAACGCCGCCAATATCCTCAACTCTTCTAAAATTCATAAAAAAAAATCTGTCGAGGAGGTTAGGAAAATAATTAAAAGTACACACACACATACATATAGGGTGTATGTACCGAACGCTTATAAAAAAGCGCAAATCAATAAATAGTTTATCATTACACGAAAAAATAAGACTAATGGAAGAAGCTTTGCTGATTTGAATCTTCCGAATTTTGAACACAAGTAAGATGGATGACCGCGCCAAGACTCCCTCAAATTATAGGTAATGATAAATAATCATTGTGTAACGACCCTCAGTAGCAAGCCTGCGACCATTACTGATGACAGGAAATCTATGTCGTGGCAGTAATGATAAACACCAGAATGGAGGCTCTTCTTAGTCTACAATAGAGGCAGAGGAGATATATTTCACGATTATATATTTCTAACAAGTTACGTCATAGACAATAAGTTTATGTTTGTTTGTAGAAAGCAAGTATTACGAGCCTCATCAAGGATTATATTACTGATTAATAACAGTGACAGTGGATTGGTTACAAGAAGTGTGTGTGTGAGTGTGTAGTGGTGTAATGGTCAGCATGCACGCCTCACAAGCGAGCGGACCCGGGTTAGATCCCCGGGCAGGGTGAAACTATAGGCAAGTTTCTTTATGCCGTTTGCCTCTGTCTACTCAGTAGTAATTGGGGATCTGGGTGTTAATCGATTTGCGGACCGTGTTACGGGGCAATGGTTAGCCAGTGCAGTTGGCGAGTTGTCCGGTCTTCTCGGAATATCCCACGACACTGGGTCATGCAACTCGTTAACTTGGGTGTGGTTGTGTTGGCGACAGCTTCTACACCTTAAAGCTTAAACAAATTCACGCCTAGGTGGCCCTAGGGCCGGCCATCCTCGTTACACGAGGGGCAACCATTATAGTAGTGGCAGTGAGTGACTGTAGACTGTTGTGGTGACAGTAACTGATTTAAAGAGACTAGTGAAGAACTGGTAGTGATTGAGGTGTCTAATTGCCATAAAGTTTGTGGTAGTCTATTAGATTACGTATGTATGTATGTATGTATGTATGTATGTATGTATGTATGTATGTATGTATGTATGTACAGTATATCGATAGTGTTATAACAAAGCAATATCCGGATTTTATTATCTTTTTTGCTTCCCCATAAATTCACTACGACTCAGATTATTTGTGAAAAATTTTATTGTATATAATTTTTAACACATACTCTTCTCCTTAAGCGATGTCTGGTTAAATACGGCCAGATAAGGAATCTATTTCATCCTCTACGTAATGCCAACTATTTTTTTCATCCTGTGTAATACTAAACTAAGAATTCATTACATCTATGTAATACTAAATAAAAAAAATAATTACAACCTCTAAGTAATGCCAAAATAACAATTCAAAGTGAGGTTTTAATACACCGTGTATGTAAGGCAAAATGAATAATTTGATACGCCCTATGTGCAGGCCTACTGCTAAATAATGGTTCTGAATTTTCTATGTAAGGCTAATTATAAAAGTTAAAATAACTGCCCTAAAATGCACCGTATATGACTATTCTTTCAGGCGTTCTTTGGCCTTTTCATTCCCTCAGTCATTAGTGTTGTCCGTGACACCTTGCGTATTCATCCATTGTGCCTCAATAGTCCTTGACAACCTCCCACTGTGCGACCACCCGTGTTATATGCTAAGATTTACCCAAAAACCTTTAATTTGTAGGTAAGGGATAGTGTTACGATATCGGATTATTGACTGCTGAGGATACCTAACTTAACCTAACCTTCATCAGCAGGACGATACCATTCCGATATTGTAAAATTAATATCCTAGTAATTTGAAATATAAGGTGTGTACTGTACCTATGGAATTAGGACAAGAACATATTCCTTTAAACTTTGCTTTCATACCTTGTACAGTACATCTAAGGCCGAAACATCCATCGACTGACTAAATAAATCTTACATAACTGACACGGGTAATACTAAAGATCACTTATGCGGCATTAATATTTGATGTTGCCTCTTTATCATCTACAAATTTATTAAACATTGTCTATTGTTGCTTAAAAAATGTGGCAGACATTGAAAATAAATTCTGAACTACTTAAAACCTTGTGACGAAAAAAATTCAGACCTGACATCGTCCATCGGCTTCCGTCATTGCTGTTCTTCTCTTGGTCTTTTTGTACTTATTTCGGGCTGATGAGAACCAATAAATCAATACTTATGGTGACACTTACATGAAGCTTCTCAAATTCAGCAGAAAATTATGTGTGGAAACAGTTTTGATCGCCTAATTAAGCATAAATTAAAATTATGGTCTTGACCTTTTAAGAGTATGTTAGCGCTAAAGCTATGTTATTAAGGCTTATAGGATACATACGAAATTTAGTACAGAGCAATTAATTGAACCTTTATTACTGGCATCTAAGGGAAGCCTAAAGAAATCGCTGAAACACATACTGTATACTATACACAGTATAGTTTAGTGGCGTGCGTCTCATCTTGTGTCCCAGGTTCGATCTCCGGGTGCTAACACTGGACAAATGAATCTCTAACAAAGAACTGACCGACCACTTGAACGGCTAGTAAGCTGATAAGTTATAAAAAATTATAAATTAAATTCGAATTAACGCATTCCTATAAGACATCGATGATCGTGATGCAGAGGTTGGATGATGCAAAACTATTGTAATTACGATAATTTGTACGTTAAGTAATTTAGTAAAATCGTAACAAATAGAACATAGTTCAAGAGACCATTATAAGAGAGAAAATGTATGAATTTTGATGTTACTTGTAATGTGTGGACGCCCGACAGGTAGGTAAGAGAGATCAGCTGGCGAGTGATTTCCTTGGTAAAACTGGTACAAATGAAAGGCCACATTAACCTGACTTTTTATTATTATTATTTTTCACAACAAAACTATTTTAACAGGTACTGGTTTAACAACGAAGATAATATATTATAATATTACTTAAAATTACATCACTGGCATGAATATTTCACTATCATCATTTAGGTTAGTCAGACAAAGTCTCACTACATGCATGAGGATAATGTGAGGTAGTTGCAACTTCCTGTCATCACAAAGGGCGAGGCGTCAAAAATTGTCCATTTCCTAGGCTCGACCTGAAAGCCTCGTACTCTTTCGGAGACATTTCTTTTAAAGGACTATTGATAGGGGTGTTGAGGATGTCAGTGAGGGCGTCGTTAGTGCCGAGTAAACCGCTCTTCTCCTCTTGTAGATCTGTGTTGGTGTCAGTGACGGCGACGGTGGATTTCTCCAGGTCTCTTGACGCAGAGTACGACACACTCGTCAGCTGGATGACTCTGGACCAAAAACAACAACAATTTGTAACATTTTCATTGACAAACTAAAGACCAATCTTTATTTTTCAAAGAGTATTTTTGTGGTCGGTGATGTAGAGGTAATAGAAAAGATATTAGATTGGAGATTGAATTATTTCTTACGCTACAAGTACAGTTAACAAAATAAAAAGAAACAACATTCTCCAGCGAATGCAATTTGTCTTCCTCAATCATCTTGGAAGTTTGGCTGCTGTTATATGTATTATCTAAACCTAAAAAAGGAATGGGGTAAAAAATCTTTCTAGTTTACTTTAACAGCTCTATACATTGTACCCAAGTTTTGAATCACTAATCACTTTTCACCCAGAAGGTTTGTTACAAGTAAGTAGGTCAACTCACATGAAGATGATCATGATTAGGACGTTGAGTGAGGCGGCGAAGAAGAACTGAGCGGCGGGGAAGTCGTTCACAGTGTGGTAGTAGATAGGGGCGTAGGCAGCATAGCCAGCCATGGGCATCAGCCCGTACATTGCCGCCATCACCGCGTTGATCCGACCTGAGAACACACACCTGTTACGTCTTGCTGGGGAACACACCTGTTACTAGCAACTGTGGAGCACAAAGCTTTTACTAGCAACTGTAGTAAAATCACGCTTAGGACGACACACTTGTAGCCTTTATTTAAGGAGAAAATTCCCTTGACTTTGTATTAATAGCGTACTTATTTATACAGCTAGGGAGGAGGTATACCTGTAAGTTGTTACTGGGGAGGTATACCTGTAAGTTGTTACTGGGGAGGTATACCTGTAAGTTGTTACTGGGGAGGTATACCTGTAAGTTGTTACTGGGGAGGTATACCTGTAAGTTGTTACTGGGGAGGTATACCTATAAGTTGTTACTGGGGAGGTATACCTGTAAGTTGTTACTGGGGAGGTATACCTGTAAGTTGTTACTGGGGAAGTATACCTGTAAGTTGTTACTGGGGAGGTATACCTGTAAGTTGTTACTGGGGAGGTATACCTGTAAGTTGTTACTGGGGAGGTATACCTGTAAGTTGTTACTGGGGAGGTATACCTGTAAGTTGTTACTGGGGAGGTATACCTGTAAGTTGTATTGGGGAGGTATACTTAAAACTTTACCCTGAAAGAGTTACTAAGGGTTAAAGACCTTTCCTAAATTACAGATTCCTTAATATCCAGAAGGATGTGTGAACTATCAGTGACAACACCTTCCATCACTGTTCACTCAGACTGAGATGATGTGAGTCACCTTTTTCATCGTCGGCGACCAGCTTGGTGGACATGGACCTGAAGGCGATGATGCTGGCGTTGGAGATGATACCAATGGGCGGTCCCAGCCACATGAAGAACTTGTAGACGACGTCGCTGACGAGGCCGTAACTGCTGTACTCACCGATGATGGAGACAGAACCCAACACCACCAGCAGTGAGTCCGTCATGGATCCCAGCCGTGTCAACAGGGGCACCAACACCAGAGACCCTAAGAGTAACCACAAACATCGGAGGTCATATATTTTTCGGTAAATAATATTTTATACTCATATAGTACGAATAATATTGACTTTATTGTGATTATCTCTAAAGTTGCAACATTTATGGCAAAAATCTTTATTAATAGGAGAATTGGTACCGGTGGCAGCGACAAGGTTGCGGTAGGTGGCCCAGTACCCATAGTCGGTGGCTTCCCAGTGCAACACACGACGCACGAACATGTAGATGAAGAACCCTGCAACAAGATGTTAAGATTTCATAAACAAAGTACCCAGTAAAATTATATTTCCTGTACAAGATGAACTAACAAGCATATAATTAAGGGCACAACTTATGAGAAGTTAAAAAAGTACCTCTTGACATGCGCCACAGCATGTTGCAGAAGATAATTAGGAGGAGGACTGTCCGAGCATTACCCTCACGCTTCTTGAACGCCGTCTTGAAGGACTCAATCACTCTATGCCAGTTGAAGAAGTCTGTAAACATTTGTGTCTTCTTTACGTCTTCTTTCTTCAGCGGACACTTCTTAATGGATCCCTTGGGCTGCAGACTTTGCTTAGCGAAGGGTCCGTGGCTCTCTTTGATGAACAAGATGACGTACAGTATTGCTGAGAGGTAAGCCGCCAACACAAGCCCCAGAGCGATATTATATCCGTAATATTTAATGACTATAGCACCGATGAGAGTACCCACCGGACCTCCAAGGTACCACACCGAGTTAGCTGTACTGACACGGGAGGTGCGATTCTTCTCTGTGCAGATGTCGCTGACGTAGCTGGTGGTGGTGGACAAGATACACATGTACGCTCCTCCCAACGCCTCCAGGAAGGTCACCACATATATACTTTCCACAGGCCAAGACGTCATATAGTTATTTAAGAGGTACCCACCAGCGTAGAACACATGACCTGTCAGTGTCATCAACAGCGGAATCTGATGGCGGGAAGGGGTGATGTAACATGTATGTATATGGGAAAGTCAGAAAGCATTTTTAGTGTATTTCCTATCAAGCTAATTAAGTGTATATTTAACAGAATACTCAGAAGTCTTAAAACTGTTATAATTTCCTAATCACCTTGCGTCCGTATTTGTCACTCCAAGCGCCCATAAAGAGCACACAGAGGAGGGGCAGCACGGACATGATGATGCTGTTGTAGAAGGCGAAGATGCTAAACGCCTGTTGCACGACCACGTTCTCCTCCGGGTGGGCAGACAGGTTGGCACACACCTGCAAAATAAGCGGCCGGCCCCACTGTAGTGTGTTTCCAGAGTCTATAACCTAAATGACATCTAGAGAGTGTTTAACTAACTTTTTAACTCTCGTCCGTTGCTACAGGAACAAAATACGGCGTACTGTTCCTTCCAGCCAATATTTATTCTTACTTCAGATGAAAAACTGAGGTTTATTGTACAATGTTGTTCATGTGGACGTTGGAGATGTGCTGCACTAACATCCAGGTGCAAAGTGGGAAACGGTCCAGGCGGCTCAGATTCATATTGTCTCGCACAGCTTACATTTTAACGTAATCTGGTGACCCATTGAAAACTATATTCGACGTTCTGCCAATCTTCACGAATTCCTTTGAGACACATTCAGTAAATAATAAAACATGGAGATACATTAAATGAGTTCTGACAGATTACACAGACCTCTTGAATCTGACAACTCTTATTCCATGTTTTGATTAATTGTGTGTGTGTGTGTGTGTGTGTGTGTGTGTGTGTGTGTCGTATAACCATCTATACCTTCCCTGGCAAGGCAATGTTTCCGCTCTTTTGTTTATTCTCTGGACATAGAAAACTTTACCTCACTCAATTATTGTATATTAACTACGCCTTCCTGAAGTCGAATAATGACATGCAAAATCCAGATTGATGGAAAATATGCTTTAATTCTCTAGCTGGGCCTATCACATTATCTAACGGTGTACATCATACCATGATTTCCTCAGATACAATATATCTTAAATCTTTAATGGTGCCGAAGCCTATTAAGGTGCATAGCCTATAACAGCTTGTAGTCTGTCATAGTTTTAGCCTGAGTATTTGGAGTAAGTTTTTGACTTCAGGAAGGTGTAGCCAATGAAGAGTTAAGAGAGCGAGGGGTCCTGAATGTGAAGAAAAGAGAAAGAAAAACACAAAACACGTCCTTGTCAAGATCCAACTCAAAAGATTGTTATGGCACTGTATCGTCTACACGACACATGAAATAAACATTGTAATAAAGTAAACTTTGTGTACAGTATCTATAACACTCAGTTGATCTACCTCTCGCCGTTCTTAAAGCATTGGGAAGAAAACAAGTGTAAAATATTTGAGAGGTTCCGTTTTTTTAAATAGCCTCCTTTTTTTCTCAGCTAGAACCTTTCCTGGTATCATTTACTGTAAGTGTGTCTGTAAAATTTGGTGATGATTGGAAGTCAATACAAAATAACGAGAATAAAGTCTACAAGGAGACACCAGTTGACGTCAAAGCCTTGCAGGTCACGTGACAGCTGGGTTCGCCGGGGAAGCCGTTACTTTTTGCATCGTGCAGTAATCCACATTTCTCAAAAAAATGATAAAACTTTCGTTAGTTACTTACCTCAGCTGAATAATTGAGATTAATGGTACAAATTTTATTCATTTGAACATTTTCGATGAAGAGAAGCATGGCCTGGTTGCAGGCACCATCGATCAGAAGGACAGGCTCCACGGTGAGCACCTGCGCCGCCTTCAGGAGCCCCGACCCCACCTGTTGCAACATCCTGGTCCTTCTCCTTCAGGCAGCCACCTAACAGTATGACTGAAGGGGGACCTGAAGAACAAAACAATGACTCGTGATAAAAAAATATATATTATTGGTTATTAAACAATAAGAAGAGTTTTCTACACATACAGATGTTAAGTAAATTATTCTGAATTTATTCCCGTTAAAAACGAAATTAAATTTTGTAAGCAAGACCCATATCAAAAGCCAGAAATTTGTATTCATACAATTTCGATGCCCACTGACAAGCTTTTCAAGTAACGAGTAACAAGGGCATAGTGTATGTGCACACAGCTGTTGGCACGGTTAAAGTACAGAGCGTACAGTACAGTATCATTTTAATTAATGCAGCTAAAATCAACACTTTTCAATACTCTTTAATCCCTGAGTACGATGACTTAACCAATCATCTGAGTACATATCATCGTGCTTAGGGGAATTTGTCATCGTTTTTGTTTAGTCATTGTAATCAAGGGGTTAAACCATAGCATAGGAGATAAATGGCCATCGTATTGAAGAGGTTAAACCATCGTACTCAAGAGCTTGTCATTGTTCTCACGATGTTAAGATAATTTATTCAAAAAGGTTAATTTATTACACTCATGGGATTAGCACCATATTTAGTGAGTTAAAATTAAAGCCTTGCCATTCGCATAATTTACGGCAAGTTAATCTATATTCAAACCAGCTTAATTTTGTGATGGCTGTCACTCATAACTTTATACAATATAGTGAAAGAGATTTATTTATAACTTTCTCCTGACACTCAACAGAAACAACAACTAATATCAAACATTAAGAAAAGGGAGAGAAAGAAAATGAATGATAGAAAAAAAACATGGATAGATTTAAAATAAAATAAATGGATAGATAGATTAGAAACAGGATGAAGGGATGAGAAAGCTGCACAGATGATAACATAGTAAATGACGAAGAATATGTAAACGGCATAGACGAAGATGACGTGAAATAACTCTTCCACTTACTTAATAATAACTGACAACGCACACTCAAACACCTTCCGGGAACCATAGGTGAAAACAGGAACTGACGCCTTCGTACAACTTGTTCGGATTTGTAACCACCACTTGAGAGATTAGACAAACACTAGCCAGACTCAGAAATAATCCTGATGGGAGGAGCCGACTCGAACAGACCCTTGCTTGGCTGGGTAATAGCACAACAGTATGGCAACAACTAACACGATGGTGGTTTTTACTGTACCGGTGAGCTCAAGTCAACTAACTGAGACATGCCTCCTCCCCGCCTTTTATAGCAAGGTAGACGAGGAGAAAGTTAGCGGGTAGTGGGTATCAAGGTCAGGGTCACGAGGGAGTACGGAAAGACAAGGGGAGCAAGGGGAGGAAGGACAACACGGAAGGTCGGTGCAGTGTGTGTGTGCATTATAAAACAAAATAATTGGGCTAAGTGTGATAAAAACGTTAACACTCTTACTACGAAACTAAAGCATAGACAGCGGTACAAAGATAACCTGTATACAGAGACATGTACAAAATTCAGATGAAGTGTGATAAATACATTAGCGTTAACACTGACATTATATACTCCATAATTTATATAACTGTGCATAGACGAAGCAGCATTTTGTCTTAACTAACACACACACACTACATATACAGTCGATTTTATTCTGCAATATTATTATTATTATTATTATTATTATTATTATTATTATTACCTGATATTGTTGTTCTTGTTGTTAGAATTATTCCTACTACTAAAATAGCCTGCCCAGAATAATGTACGTAAATTTATATAGAAAGTACAAAAACTAAATCAAGTAGAGAAAAGAACAACGGTACGGCTTCCTAATTTATTTGTACAATAACCCAGTTTTTAAGGTTATTGTTTGAGTGTATTAAGACTGCAATTACTAGGATCTTCCAGCACATAATCACTAAGTTTCTACACTAAAAGATAACTTTTAAGAATTTGGAAAGTTAAGAAAGCTATATATTTGATTAGGTTTAAGGTCTTTTATTTTGTTTTGTTTTGTAATGTTAGACTGTGTACATACAGACAAACAAGTACTAAGTTTTCTACTCTCAAGTTGTGTATTTCATTGTACTATTTGCGGGTAGGACGCCAAGTACATTGACGAGACTTGTACATATTATTGTATTTATTATCTGGAGTGGCTGATCTGGCACTGAGGTTGGGTTGTAATGTGAGGGGAAAGGAGAGAGTTGGCAACATGTTGTGGGATGTTGTGAAGGGAGGGGTAGGAGGGATGGTAACATCATATGAACTGCTGTGGGATAGTGAGAAGAAAGGAGAAGGGGAGTTTATTAACGACACCTAGACCGCCGTAAAGGAGTGAGGGGAAGAGGGAGGGGAAATGACAACAAGAAGGAAGAGGGGGAAGGGGGGAGATGTGAAAAGATCAGGACGGAGGAGAATGGCAGACAGAGGCGGACTCATGCGAGGGAGGGAGGGGGGGGAGAGAAGGAAGGCCGCCTGTCTGAAGAGAGTGAAAGGCGAGGAGGGATGATCATATGAAAGAGACAGCGACAAATAATAATAGAATAAGAATAATAGAAAATAAAATTAATGAAAACTAAAGGATGACTCAACCATGAGAAACTACACCAAGAAAACAAGTAAGAAAGGTTTTGAAATTAGAGACGTTAGTTACTATTTCTGTCCACACCATTACGCAACCGACCGACTGAGTAACGCTTGTTCAGCAGATTACGTAACTCTTGAATTTTCATTATTTTCCATAATTTTGATAGTAACTAGCCTAACTGGAAATTAAAGATGGCCTAAGATGTACTGTAATATTCTCTGTCATGTCTAAGCGAGATAATAAAAGTAGCTATAGTTTCAGAAAGGTCGGCAAGCACCCCTTTGATCTATAACGTCTTAAGTCATGTTTCTTATTGTATCTTATTGTATATTAAATCTAAATGCAAACACTAACTCTGACGTCACGTGTTTTGTATACAGAATGAGCCTAACTGGATATAACTGGAATTATAAATATTACATTATCATTATTACTGTTACTATCAGGAAATACTACTACTACTAAAAATAACAATAATACCACTAATAATAATAATAAGAAGAAAAAGAATAATTTTTATTATTGGTAGTGATGATGGTGGACAGCATAAAAACATTGAAGTTACCTATAAGAGAGAGGATGGGAGGAGAGAAGATTAAGGAATAATTAGGAAAATGGGATATGGTTAGGCAAGAAAAACGGGGAAGAGAGATGGGAGGTTAAGGCAGAGGTGGGGATGGGTGTTGAGTAAATCGGCAAGTTAGGGGATCAAAATAAAAGAAGTCGCGGGTGTTATGCATCATAGAGCATCCTGACTGTCACGAGTCTTCTGTCAGGGTCGATAACACACTACAGTTAGCTTGTTAAACGTACGGTTAGGGAGCCTTGGTTTTTTATGAAATGCATTTTAGGGACAAAGTGACGAGTACCATGCCTCGGTATCCGCGTATCTGTGTGTTCAATATGTTTTAATGTGTCGGAACCGATTTTCATTTTGTTAGAACCGATATCTGTGTATTTTGGCTTTACGAAATATTTTTTCTACTGTTTTGGTATCTTGAATTCAACGTTATAATAGTGTTTTCGTTTGTCTCTTGATTTATCGAGTTTTAGTGGGGAATTTTGATTTCTGTAATTAATCATATATTAGTACCCCGCCGTTTTATTCAATTTATGTCAATCAAACACTACTATAAATAGTACATAAACTTCATTTAACCGATGATAAACACAAGGCTTTCTCTACCTATGAAGAATGGTGGACGGATGGTGACGCTATCGTGAGAACTAAAATCTCCTTTTTGATACTAGTGACCTTAGCCTTTGACCCTTGAACCCTTAAATCAATAAAGGGAAGCTCCCTTTCCTCAAGTCAATGGACAGTAACTTCAGACTTAGCGGTGTACGGGAACTTGAGCTAAGACTTGTACACATTTGCTGAGGAACTGAACTAAGAAATGTTCTGGCATCGAGGACGGGCGATGTTATATGTTTCAGTTCCTAGTTAAGTCATCACCTGAGAGGCTTCAGTCTCGTAATATGTTATAAATGATGGAGAACAGAAATGGTGATGGTGATTGTATTATGGTGAGAGTAAGTGATGGTGCCGGTGATGGTATAGTTAGTGATGATGGTAGCAGACATAGTTAGGGTGACGGTCATATAAGACAATGGGTGTGGGTACTAATAGTGGCCATGGGTGTCACACGTTATCAGCAACCCTTGTATATCAACAATTATCTCATTACATAAACTGTTATGGAACCTTGGTTACTGTATACACAAACACGCACTCACATATTTATGACTAGTTATGCTTTACGTTTTACATCTATGTCGAGTTTTATAATATTTCAATATTTTTAGTATACTGTAACAAGCATTTTTTTTTTATCGGAAATGAAGATAATATTTAATTGGCGGCCATTAGTAGATGTATGCTCGTAGGACTTTTACGCGGTGATGATAGTAGTAGTAGTGATGGACGTTGTAAAAGTGACGGTAGTGACTGTGGTAAAGGAGGTATTGGTAGATTGTGGTAGCGATGATGGTGTGCGGTGGTAGAGGTGGTGTGGTACCAAAAGTAGCGGTTCTTCTATGTAATTTCAATAAAGGTTGTAATGATTGTAGCAGTAGTAGTGGTGGTGGTGGCGGTGGTGGTTGATTGATTTTTTTTTTTGCCACTTACAGCGGTTAGTTTATTGTGCACCCCATACTCATTCTATGAGCGGTAGCGCAAAAGGATTACAAAGTAGGGTTTACAAAGGGTCAGAATAGCTAACCCCTGTGGTCAGGCTATTATGGCATTGAATGTTACACAGTATTTCAAATAAATTCTTTGTTTAGTTCTATACATAAAGGGTGACTTATTCACAACTGCATGAGTACGGGAGTGTGAGGCAATATGTCTGGCCGCACACTTTGTTATTCACATTTGCGCGAGAGATATTCAGGAACACGTGTGTTTGGTTCTGTACATGGGAACTGATATAGCTACTAAGCGCACAAAAGTGGATACAATCTTAATATATCGGCTATCTTGCCACTAGAGATAAAGTGTTGTGCTCATGTGCTTGGACCTGTCCCTAAAAAATTCTATCTTCACACAGTCGAGGGCGTGGGAGTGGTGGTGATAGCGACTGATGTTAGTGTTGGTGAGAGGTGGTACAGGTGGTAATGGTGAGAATGGTAGTAGTAACTGTATGGAGTGATAACAGTAGTGATCAGAATAGTAGTAGTAGTAGTAGTTGATGGTGAGTAAAGGGCGGTGGTAGTGACAGCGATGAGATTGTATCACAGTTGGTGGTGAAAATGGGTGATCATGGTAGATGAAGAGGGTGTAGAATAAGATTGAATAAAGATGGTGGGTATTTAACACTAATTAATGAACGTAAAGGTGTAGTAGCAGGTAGAAGAAGCTAGAGGTAAGAGAGGGTGATAGGATTAGTGTTTGGTATATGTGTCGTTCATTATCGTGGGTATGGCACAACTGACTGTGGTTCTTTAATAAAGGTGCATCAACTTTTGCATAGGAAATATTTTTGTTCCGAAATACGTAAAGCAGAACCACTATACAGAACAGCAGTAATAACATGAGCTGGGAAATAAAACAGCAGAAATAATATAAGGTGGGAATAAAACAGCATAAACAACATACGAGAAATAAAACAGCAGCAATTTAAAATACAGTAACGTCAGCTTCAGATCTCTTCAATACTGTTAATGGCATGTTTTTTTTAAGTGTTATATAACACAAAGGTAGGAGAATATTTTATAGCATTTTTAAAAAAAAAAATATTGCTTTTTGATGACGTTGAAAAATGAATTTTACCTCCTGTTGTTGTCGTTGCTGCTGTTGGGCGCCAACTTATGAGGTTGTTTGCACCATTTTTTTATTAACTTATTCTGCTGGTTCACCCGATTCAGATTCGCCCCTCGATGGGGCTAGTTTATTGTGCATCCCCTTACACCCTGTACAAGGCGAAGCGCAAGTGTTTGCAGCGCCCAACAGGGAAGCATGCGGAGTTCATATTTGCTTTCTTGACTCATGCATTTAAGGGCGTAGTGCGTGAATTGCTCATCTGCATTACGGTATGTACTCTTATCTGCCAAGGTCAATTGCTTTGTTGTGTTCTACTTCCTTGTTGTTGTAGTTGTGTGTATTAAAGTGTTTTGACTGCTAAAGTTCATTAAGTAATTTT